CATATTTCCCAAGATTGGTGAGAAATCACAGTCAAGCATATTAAATAAATTCCTCATGACCAAAAACCAAGTAAAATGTCAAAAATCCTTTCGATTTTCTTTTATAGCCAAAAAGTGATACTGGGTGTGGGAGGTGGGTGTGCTTGAAAATGTCAGAGGGGGGATAGCGCCTGCAAGAGAAGGAAAGTATCGGGTCTTACGATGATCGTAAAGAGCCCTGGCCACACCCACCTTCCTTGAGTTTTCCACCTGGCCATGTTGTACCAGAGATGGCAGCCAGGCGAACAGCAGGAAAGCATGCATCTCAGAATCATAGAGTGAGGATAGCTAACATTCACTGGGTATAGAGTATTGCCAAACTAACTTCTACACGTTTGGCACATATCATCTCAACTGTCGCAGAAAACTCTGTGAAGTCAGCATTATATTTTGTCTATCTCATAGACAAGCAAAACAAGGCATAACCTGCTTTGACTAATATGGCTAATAAGGGGAATTTAAGAATTTTTCCAAGCTAAAGGGAATTACAGATGAAATGACAAAAAAGCAAGACCCGGGCCCATTGTCTTAACTGTTCTGCCTGGGCACCCACCTTCATGTGCTAGATGAACATAGCTACATGTTGCATAGAGACTGGGACAAACTCAGTTTATGCCACCCCTGCTCTAACACAAGCATTCATGAAATATGATGCTGCTTTCTCTAGGCTGTGGCTCAGCCTAGGATAGAGGTCTTACTGACCCCTGTGACTTGTATAATCATGGCCCATAAAAGGTGCTCAATAGTCCCGGTTGGGGCGCCGGATTCTGTCCCGGTTGCCCCTCTTCCAGGCCAGCTCTCTGCTGTGGCCAGGGAGTGCAGTGGAGGATGGCCCAGGTGCTTGGGCCCTGCACCCCATGGGAGACCAGGAAAAGCACCTGGCTCCTGGCTCCTGCCATCGGATCAGCGCGGTGCGCGGGTCGCAGCGCGCCGGCCGCGGCGGCCATTGGAGGGTGAACCAACGGCAAAGGAAGACCTTTCTCTCTGTCTCTCTCTCTCACTGTCCACTCTGCCTGTCAAAAAAAAAAAAAAAAAAAAAGGTGCTCAAAAGCAAACCATGCCTGGAAAGGCTTAGGTGATCATCTGAGCCCTTCGCAGAACAATGTCTCCAGTCTAGCTACAGTTCTCCCTTCCCACACATAGCACAAACACTGGTATTCAGAGACTCCAAAGACATCCATTTCAATGTAATCAACAGCAAGCTAATGTACCACACGTTAATGTGCCTCTTATCTGCCAGGTGTGGTTCCAGGGACTTTCCATGTGTTAAGAAATTGCTTAGTAATAGAACATCTACAGCGATTCTACAAAGCCAATGTTCTTTATGATCACCCTCCTTTACAGAAGAGGAATCACAGCTAATAGGACAAATTGTGTCCTCTCCAGATTCCCATGTTGAAATCCTACCCCTAGGACTTCAGAATGGGGCTACACTTGGAGGTATGACCATTAAGACAGGCCCTCTTCTTTACAAGAAGCAAAGTGGACTTGGGGATGTACAGATGGAATACCAGGTGAGGACACAGGGAGAAGACAGCCAAAGGGAATGAAACCAACCCTGCTGACATTGGAACTGCATCCTTCAGTCTGTAGAACTGTGGCAATGTCAATGTCTGGTACGTAAGTCCTGCCGTTGGTGGTACTTTTTTAGGGCAGCCCCAGCAAACAAGCATTGTGGCCCAGGAGGCTTGTCCAGTGAGTAAATGAGTTTTGTGGTCATGGAAATGCTTTCTGCTTTTTTTTTTAAAGATTTATTATTCATGTATTTGGAAGGCAGAATATGAGAAAGAGAGATAGAGAGAGAGACAGAGACAGAGAGAGACAGAGAGAAGGAGAGGGAGAATGAGAATGAGAATCTTCTATTCACTGGTTCACTCCCCAGTTGACTGCAACAGCCAGGGCTAGGCCAAGTGAAAGCCAGGAGCCTACAACTCTATCCTGGTCTCCATGTGGGCAGTAGGGACTAAGTACTTGGACCATCTTCTGCTGCCTTCCCAGGCACACTATGAGGCACCTGGACTAGAAGCAGGGCAGCCAGGACAGGAAAAAGAGCTCTGATATGGGATGGTGCCTTAACCCACTGTAACGCAATTATGGCCCCAATGGGAGTGTTTTCAGTGCTGTCCAAGAAGGTAGCCACCAACCATGTGTGCTGAGCACTTGAGATGTGGCTAGCACAACTGAGCAACCGAATTTTTAATTTAATTTACACTAAAATTAAAATCACCCCTGGTGGCTATTGACTGCCATATTGGACATAGCTTTATGCTTTTTCTTTTTTTAACTTTTATTTAGCAAATATAAATTTCCAAAATACAGCTTTTGGATTACAATGGCTCCCCCCCACCATAACTTCTCTCCCACCCACAACCCTCCCATCTCCCGCTCCCTCTCCCATTCCATTCACATCAAGATTCATTTTCAATTATCTTTATATACAGAAGATCAATTTAGTATAAATTAAGTAAAGATTTCAACAGTTTTCACCCATACCGAAACACAAAATGTAAAATATTGTTTGAGTACTAGTTATAGCATTAAATCACAATGTACAACACATTAAGGACAGTGATCCTACATGAGGCGTAAGTGCACAGTGACTCCTGTTGTTGAGTTAACAAATTGACACTCTTGTTTATGGCGTCAGTAATCACCCTAGGCTCTTGTCATGAGCTGCCAAGGCTATGAAAGCATTTTGAGTTCTTTGACACTGATCTTATTTAGACAAGGTCATAGTCAAAGTGGAAGTTCTCTCCTCCCTTCAGAGAAAGGTACCTCCTTCTTTGATGGCCCGTTCTTTCCACTGGGATTGATCTCACTTGCAGAGATCTTTCATTTAGGTGGTTTTTGTTGTTGTTGTTGTTGTTGTTGTTGTTTTGCCAGCATGTCTTGGCTTTCCATGCCTAAAATACTCTCATGGGCTCTTCAGCCAGATCCGAATGCCTTAAGGGCTAATTCTGAGGCCAGAGTGCTGTTTAGGACATCTGCCATTCTATGAGTCTGTGTATCCTGCTTCCCATGTTGGATCATTCTCTCCTTCTTAATTCTATCAGATAGTGTTAGCAGACACTAGTCTTGTTTATTATGATCAATCGTGAACTGAAACTGATCACTTGGACTAGAGAGATGGCATTGGTACATGCCACCTTGATGGGATTGAATTGGAATCCCCTGGCACATTTCTAACTCTACCATTTGGGGCAAGTCCAATTGAGCATGTCCCAAATTGTACATCTCTTCCCTCTCTTATTCCCAGTCATATTTAGCAAACACTATGAGAAACAGTGACTTGATCAGCCCTTGTCCTGACTGTTGATGAACAACTTAATACTTTATCCCTTTTAGTATTTTTTTCTTGTCCTACTGAGTACTATTGGTTGAACTCTGTAATTAACACACAATTATTCTTAGGTGTTTAAATTTAACTGAGAAGTGATCTCTGTTAAATATAAGAGTGGGCTTTATGCTTTTTCTAAGTGCATCATTTAAGTTTTCTGTAGAATCCTCTAGAACTCCCATTTGTGCTCCATCTTTGTTCCCAAGTCCCACTGTGTTTTACTTACTTACTTATTTTTTTTGCAATCCTTTCTATATAACCCCTGTTGCCTGGTCCCCTGTGGAGAAGAAGGGAGAGCTGAAAGGATGAGTGAACTGGGTATCCTTCTGGAACCCCATGGCCTGGGCAGTACCAGGTCCCCAGTAGTCTGCTCTACACAGAGGTGTTAGCCAACCAAATGCCAAGCAGCACAAACACTGAGTGACATTTTCGGAAGTATTAATATTTCATCACAAATGATCACTTTCCCTTTAAATACACTATCTTAAAAGGTTTTCTACATTCTTAACTATAATTTTATTCAGTCTGGGTCCTTGGAATTTTCCCCAAAGGAACACATCTTCAATTTTATAATGAAAATCAAAAGGGAATGAAGCTCAGATTTCAAAATTTAGAGTCAACATTTCCAGGAACTTCTGTAAAGAGCAAGGTTGTATATTTGGCACCTACTGTATGCCAGGCACTTTACATACAGTACATCATTAATTCATCCAACACCTTTATTGAGTGCTTACTGTGTGCCAGGAATGTTTTACAGAAAAGATTCCCTCTCATCCTTCCACTTCTCAAATGTCACCTCCACCAACAGACCTTCCTGGACCACCTCCTCCTGTTGTTATTTTCCACCTGAGCCCTCGCCTTCTCTGTAATTATCGCTCCTTCACGTGCTCTGGGGGGTTGCAATCCAGCTCCCCCCAGCAGAACTGAGGCCTCCACAGGAGCAGGGACCGTGTCCAGGAGGATCATCCCGACGCTCCCTCTGTGTCCAGCAGCTCCCTTGGCACACAGGAAGGGCTCCATTCCTCCTAGGGGGAGGGAGGGAAGAGGCGGAGAGAAGGAAGGGGTGGTTGAGGTCACACAGCAGTGGCAACCATTACCCGAGTCCCCCTTCTCTAGGCTGCTGTTTTCCTGGCTTCCCTTCCGTCTTCTTCCTCTGCCTCTTGTGCTTCCTTTCCAGGGGAGCCCTCCAGTCACCACCTTGAATTCCTGGGGCCAAAGGTGCCGCGTCAGTCCCAGGTTTAAGAAAGCCGCTGCAGGGAGGGCAGGATTCTATGAATTGGCCAATAGCCTACCTTGACCCTTTCTGTATCTCCCACCCCACCCCCAACCAGGCCTGGGACCTACTGAGCCCAGCGCAGGGTCTGCAGGATCCTTGCTGTGCTGGCCAAAGCCAGGCAGAGATGGGGCAGGTCCGCCAAGGCATGCGAGCCCTGCAGAGCCCGGCAGCCGGGCTGCCGGCTCCGCCTCCTGAGCGGCGACAGCGCCCGGGGTTTGCGGTGCACGCCCACCCCACCCCCACCCGCACCCGCACCCGCACCCGCACCCGCACCTGCATCGCGGAGGGCCTTGGGCGCCAAGCCAGGAGCCCCGCGCACCGAGCCGTTGCGTTTGAACTCCCGGAAAGAACTCCAGCGCTCGACGGCAAGGGTGTGGGAGCCACCGACTCGCACATTGGCCCAGGCGGCCAGCCTGCCCGGCCCTGCCCAGACCACGCCCTTCTCGCGGTTGAGACTCTCCCCTGGGGGTGGCCCCACAACCCAGCACGGGCGCGGCAGGTGTCTTGCTGCGACGCTAGGCCGGCGGGTGCGGCCCCTGACCCTGCTGGCCAGGGGAACCGGAGCGGGCGGAGCGGAGCCTAGGCTGGACGTTAGCCTGGCCTGAGCGGGGCTCCCAGGAACACCCTAGCCCAGAGCCCCGCGGGCTAGCCGCTGCCCGCAGCGCCTTGCGAGGTGCCAGGCCCCTACTCTGTCGTCCACGCAGCTAGGAGGGCGAGAATGGGCTGAGCCGGGCCAGGGCGTCGCGGGGTGTACCAAGGGGTGACTGCCAGGTCTCTGGGGAGAGCCAGCCTCCCCCTCCAGCGGTTCCCAGATGTCATTCTGCCCGCCCAGGCGCCTGGTTGCTGAGCTCCGGGGGATTCCACGGTTACTAAGCTACTGGTTTTTGTTGACTTTTAAATATTTTCTTCTAAGGGAGACGGGGAGGGGGACAAAGGTCAGGCGAGAGCAAATAAGAACGAATCGAAACAAGCTCCTCCTCCCCCAAAGAGAGCAGCCCCCAACCCACTGCCCACACGCAAGCCAGAGGCCTCTAAGCCCAGGCCCTTCCCTGGAGCAGCAGCTGGACCGGACTGAGCAGCTTCTGCCAGGCCCCGCCCTCCACCTCCTCACTGGTGAATGAGAGGTGGGGGTGCACGGTCCCCCTGTCTCCGAGCCCTGGGTGGACAAAGGGGCTTCTGGAGAGAGAGGAGGAAGATGGCCAGTGGAAACGGGCTGCCTTCGTCCTTGGCCCTGGTGGCCAAGCGCCCCTCGGCCCTGGGCCCATTCCCCCGATACATCTGGATCCACCAGGACACGCCCCAAGACAGCCTGGATAAGGCTTGCCATGAAATCTGGAAGAGAGTTCAGGGCCTGCCCGAGGACTTGCAGTCCAGAACCTCCACAGAGCAGCTCTCTGCCACCGGGGCAGGAATGCCAAGGGACCACAGGCTCAGCTTCATAGACGAGTGAGTATCCCCTCGCTTGGTGGGCAGCAAGGGCTGTGGCAAGGTCCAGTGCAGTCTGAACTTCTAGGGGACTGTTCGGGCCGTGTTCGGTCTGGTTAAACCCTGCATTCTGCAGACATTCTCTCCACCGTGCGCCCTTCATTGGCAAGCTGGAGAAAGAGCTGACCAAGGTGCTGAAATCACCTGGTTGAAAGGCCAGGCCAGAGCTGCCTTCCAGGCTCCCCTTCATTGGCCCTCCAAGGGGGACATTTCTCATCCTGAAGGTGCAGGCAACCCAGATGTGGCTCTGGGGTCCTTGAAAGCCCCTCCATCACAGCAAAGGCCAAGGGTTAGGTGATTCATGTCCTTCCCCAGAGGCAACTTGAAGAAGCTTCCCCTTCCCATGCAAAGGCCAGGCATTTGCACAGATGAGCCTGGTGGTTTCAAGCCACATCTGGAATTCCCTAATACAGGGAGCAGCTGTCCCATTCAGCCTACACAGAGGCTGCTGCAAGAGCGCATATCAAAATATTTACTGGGAAGGCATTGACATATTCAGAGGACATAATAGAAAATTAAAGTGCGGGAAGATGGCTGTAAATAGCCAGCTTTCTGGATGGGGAATCCTGTGCCTGGGAGACACAGAGCTAAGTGTTTCTCTACCAGGGCAACGTTGGGCAGAGATTGTTGGGCATGGATATTCACGAGGAGCAGGAGAAGCAGACAGGAGGAAGAGACCTCATTAGGGAAAGGAAGTAAATCTGCTGTGGTTATTAATGTCACTGTCAATCACTTCTTCAATGCTTTGCATCTTCAAAGTGTGCTGCAAACATTAATTAATCCTCCCAGAGTTCCTATGAGGCAGGTATTAGTGTCCCCATTTTACAGATGGATTAAGTGTTAATAATTAAGTGCTAATTAAATACTAAGTGATAATTAAGTGTTGCCTGCTCCAACACATGCTCACGTTCAGTTCAGAGATTGCTCTGAAGTGGGAGAATACTCAGGCATTTATCAGCCGCCTCTGGTTTCAGGGATGTCTAAGCAAGAGCTGAGGACGAAAGCCATAGTCAATGGAGGGATACCCAAGTGTGCACTCTCTGCTGTCGCTTTGCAGGCCTCTCTGCTTGCTGCAGATGAAGGTAGAAGGCACTTTGGCTGTTCCTGCCTCCACTTCCCTATGCTCAGCACAGGATGGCTCAGACAGGAATAGTGTGGCTACAGCCAAAACCTTGCTGTCAGGCCCTTCGGAGGCACAGAGCCCTTTTCCTCTGCCCATTGCCATCTGCTTTGGGACCGGGCCTTGGCAGGGTCCCTTGGGGCCACGGTCAGTCCTCATGGCCAAAGAGCTGATTGTCCACTTTGTGGACCAAGGGTCAGTAGCAATTTCCAGTAGATGGCACCCTCTCTGCCAGGTCACACTGAGTTAATGGAGACAGACTCTACTTCCAGCCTGCACTTGGCTGCAAATTGAACTGGCACACCTTTGGCCAGTTGCTTAACTCCCTTTGGCCTTGATTTCCTCATCTGCAAATTGAGGATGATTTGCCCTGCCTTGTCCACCTCAGAGCTGATCACGAGAATGGAATGTGATGGTAAGCAGGGAAGTGAAAGATGCATTACACAAATGAGACTACCCTCAAGGTGTCATTCCTGGGGTTCTGGCTCTGTAGTCGCTGTTGGCTTCTGTCTGGGGTTTGCATGCTGTGCTCTGTGCAGCCCAGGATGCCTCAGCAGCCACCCTGGGTAAAGTGGGCTGGTTTCTAGGGCCCCTTCCCCACTTCAGCCAGAGCTGTTGAGCTTTTATCAGTTTTACTTACTGGAGTTCTAAGGCTATGTTTGAAAGAGTTCTGCTACTGAGAAAAAGAGCTAGGAAACCACTGACTTAGATGAACAAACGATACAGCAATCGTGTAGATATCAACCAAGTGGAACACGATGAGCTGTTCTTGAAATAAAGGCAGCTGTTCTGGCAGAGTCAGATAACTCCAGTTTCAGATTGCACTTCCACCCTGTGCCAGCAGCAGGGTTTGTTACTGTTTAATTTATCTGAGCTTTGGTTTCCTCATCTGCCACGTGAAGGTGGGTTATGTGCATTTCACAGGGTTGTTGAGAAGATTCAGTGAGATATTTAAATATGCCAGCTAATAAATAGGACTTGCAAGAATTCCTTGTAATGATGATCACCATTTCTTTAAGGCCTATAATTATTTCATGAGGTTGATACTAGTTTAAACTCCCCACATTTTTCACATTTTATTATGCAAAATTTCAAATGTAGAAAATAGAATAATATAATGCATATGCTTATCACTATATGTGTATCATTGTGTTCTAGTGATTATCAAATGGTGTGGTTCTGGTTTCAATTGCTCCCATCTCCATTTTGAAATAAATTATTTTTGTACAGATAGGGCCACAGAGGTTTGGAGGGGTTAATTTCTTCTTTTTTATTTTTAAAAATTTGTTTATTTGCGAGGCAGAGTCACAAGCACAGACTGTGACTAGCAGCACAAATGGCAGCAACGGCTGGAGCTGGGCTGACCCCTCTGAAGCCAGGAGCCAGGAGCTTCTTTCAGGTCTCCCATGTGGGTGCAGGGGCCATCCTCCACTGCCTTCCCAAGCCATCATCAGAGAACTGGATCAGAGAACTGGATCAGAAGTGGAGCAGCTGGGACTCTAAGCAGCACCCATATGGGATGCCAGGCTGCAGGTGGAGGCTTAGCATATTACACTACAGCATCAGCTCTAAGGAGGGGTTAATTTCATTGCCCAATTCCCTCTACTTAGGAAGTGCCAGAGTTTTAGAAGTGAAACAAGGCACTACCTTAGCTCTTAGGAAAAAAAAAAGCAGTGGCTGTCTTCCCCTGGAATGCGAGGCACCCTTGGGTAATCAACATATTTGGGAGTTTCGTGTTCTGCATGACTGATCACACATAGGCCTGAAGTCTAGGAGGGTGTTTGTACTGTTTCTGGGAGAGACACCATGCTGCTTAGCCTTTCCACTGCTTAATTTGTCGACCTGGTTTTGCCAGTGTTTCTTCTACTGGGTTAGCTAGGTAAGTTCTAGAACTCTAAGCCAGATTTTTCCCCCTTGATTCCATCTGTACACATCACAGAAACTCAGACTTCTCCAGTTTGATTTAGAAGCCATTTCTGCGCAGGAGCCCCTTCCTCACTCAGTGTCTTCGCTGAGTGATCACCTGCTTGTGTGCTGTCTTAGATGGGGAGCTAACTACTTGCTAAGCAGCTCCTTCCTCTGCAATCAACTCTTTCAAAACACCATTGGCTTCCTGTAACTGAAATCTGACTACAAAATCAACACCCACTTATCTGGATTCTACCCTTAGGGTTCCACACCAAGTCTACCATCTCTTTTGCTCAACAGCCCTTTGTCTAGGTAATAAAATACAGCAGCAATACTCCTCCTGGGATTTTTTTGTCTCCACAAGCAAAACTGCTGTGGCTTTCTAAGATTCTCCTCTGTGTCTACCTGGTTTGTTTCTTGTCCACACCACAGGTCCTTGTGGCCAAGAACAAGAACATTAATCCAGGCATGATCCAGTTAATGTAGATATGTTCCTCTCTATCTACACCTTGTATTCCTGTTAATGGAAACTAATATCATATTCACTTTCATCTCCAAACAAACCCTGCACTGTTGACACTTATTGAGTTCATTTATTCATTCACTCATCAAATTATTAAGCATCTGCTATGTGCCAGGCATCGTGCTAAAAATCAGATAGAGCTGTGAACCAGTTCAAAGTACTATCTTCCTGGAGTTCACATTCTAATAGGGGAGGGAGAGAAAGGGAAAAAGTTTTCCTTCCTTATCCATGGGCTGTGCATCTATAGCTTCCATATCCTTGGATTCAAACAACCATGGATTGAAAATATCTTGGGAAAAAATGCATCTGGACAGAACATGTAGACTTTTGTTTCTTGTAATTCTTCTCTAAGCAATACAATATAACAATTATTTATGTAGCATTTATATAGGTTTAGGCATTATATGTAATCTAGAGGTGATTAAAAGTATATGGTGGAAGTGAGGCAGGTATTTGGCCTAGCAGTCTGTGTCCCATATCCAGGTGCTTGGTGTGATGCCCATCTCCAGCCCCTGACTTCAGCTTCCTGCTAATGCAAACCCTACTAATGCAGCAATAATGGCTCAAGTAATTGGGTTCCTGCCATCCATGTGGGAGACCTGGATAACATTCCCAGCTTCTGGTTTCTATCCTGGCTCCAGTCATTTGTGGGCATTTGGAGAGTGAACCAATAGATGGGATCTCTCTGTCTCTCTCTCTCTCTGTGCCTCTCAAATTTTTTCTAAAACTTAAAGGATAATGAAAGTTGTGCCTAGATTCTATGCAAATATTCTGCCATTTTATGTAAAAGACTTGGACTTCTGTGGGTTTTGGTCTCCTAAGGGGTCCTGGAACCAATTCCCCCTGGATACCAAGGGATCTCTAAAAATGAGAAAGCTATGATACCTTCTCAATGTGAAAAGAATTGGTCTTCTAGTTGGAGGAGACCAATAACAAATGCAAAAAGGTAAACAAGATAATTTCAGATGGTAACAAATGCAGTGATGGAAACAAAAGGGAGTAAAGGAACCTTCGGATGAGTGTCAGGGAAGACCAATCACCTGAGCTGAGTGCTGGATGCCAAGAAGGAGTCAGCTGGGTGAAGATTGGGGGAGGCTATCCAGGCACAAGGAAGTGCCAGTGTAAAGATCTGAGGCAGGAGTGAGCTCAGCTGGCATGCATGAAGCACGGCCCATGGTACCAAGTGATGTTGCAGGGGGCCAGGCAAGGTTGCAGAAGACCTGGGTCATCACTCCAGGGCCTCAGAGTTGCCCTTCCATGTGACACCTTTGGAGGAAGGAACATAACATGACCAGACTTACTGTTGTCTGAAGATCTACCCTTCTTGTGTGTGGAGGTGGTTTGTAGATGTGTGAGGGAGGGTGTTGGGAAGATGCTGCCACAGTCCCGGGGAGCCTGGTGGTGCTGGCG